TTTATCCTTATAATAGACCGTGGAGTCCCATAGGGTCGTGACACGTCGAGACTCCCACATTTTCTCTAGACAATCGACTCAAAGAAAGCGGTAAGGTTGTCAGCCTTACACGCCGGCCCCCTTTACCCCCATGAAGATTCCTGATACTCATTTCTGTTAGAGGCCCCAGGGCACAGTGAGGCTGGAAGGATTAGAATAAATAAAAAATCCAGTGACTTCATCGGGAATCGAACCCGCAACCTTCTGGCTTGTAGCATAGTGCCTCAACCAACTACCGTTCTGCGTCCCCCGAATGTTCCTTGTTACACGCATAATGTACTGTAGCTTATGTGAGATTTACGTTCTCATGGCGGTGAATATGAAAATGGCTTTCTTCTGGGAAGTAGTGCCATGAGGTCTGGTTGCATTCCCGCGCGGATTGATTTACCGGCTATTCTTCCTCTTTCCTACCCCACAGTTTTTCACCTGACAATGCCTGCATTGTGTACCTGCATTCAGCCTTCTGCCCTTTCGTGGCTAAGTTGTCGTATTATCCCTTTTGTGGTTTGTGAGACACAACTGTACTTGCGTTCGACAATGTTGCCCTTTCGCAGAGCAGTAGATCGACCTCCTGAGATCTTCACTTTGTGTCTCGATACTACTCCAGAAACTGTGTACGATCCAACCCCTCACATTTCCTCTTCGAAGAAAAAAACTCGCAATATTTCCCTCTAGAAATATTTTTTCTCGCCTGTTTCCCCTTGCATATTTACACCGTGGATCTAGGGACCGCCGTCATCCACTGATTTCCTCAAGGTTCCATTTCTCTTTTCCTTTCACGAATTCGGCCCCTTCATTTCATGCGCGGTATATAGTTTTTTACTCTGACGACAGAAGCAACATTCTCCTCCGAAATAATTGTAAATATATAATAGAATATAATTTGTCATAGCCCCACAAAATCAATAATTTTAACATATCTTGATGGATATACCCGTATACACAAGTAAATCAGAAAGAATTGTTTTCAAATCGTACTGTGCTTTAACTTCTCACGGTAGGGCCTTTCCGTATCTGCAGAACTCATGAGGAAGTGATTTCTCTCTGTTACCAGTCCGCTAAGGTTCACTTAGTGGGTTTAATACAATTTCCGGCAAGGCAATCTGGGCTGAGATCACTACGGGGACTGCTAACGGAACAAGTTTACGCCCTCACTTATACAGCCCCGCCATAGAGTACTGCCAAAGAAGTTGCCGAAAGACACAGGCGTGTCAATTATGCGGAAATTTTAGAAATAATTTAACTTTGTAGTGGAAGTTTGCAGAAATGAAATGAATTGACGTTTTGATTTTTATTCATTTACATATGCAAATAAAAGTTTCAATAAAATCTGGTTTCCTAGCGGTGACACCTATAAACATTTCATTTAAGGGCTAACGCAAAGGACATCATTACCTAGTATCAATGTATTCATAGCATTTGCACCTTTTGTTCGTTTCTGGTTATTTCGTAGTAGGTATGTTTCACAAGACAAATAAGTTACCAGACTGCTGGGCAAGATTTTGGGAGAAAAACATAGGTGATTAATCACCCTAATTCAAGTCCAGTAATGGATTACTCTCATTAACTCTCAGCCAAGTAGTCTAGTCTCAATCATAGTGCGAAACTGTATGCCTTACTCTTCCTCTTCCTCCTCCTCCTCCTCCTTGGATGTTAAGTTAGGATCACGGGTTCGAAATCTGCCGAGGGACATCATATGCTCGAGTGTTCTGGTTCTGTTCTTTAGGTAAAGACAAAATATTATTGTGACATAACTTCATAATCATTGTCTATTCCATGGTGACGGCTGGATAAACACGTAACATTCCCTAGGCCATTGCTAGGCAACGGCCACTACGAGAGTTGCAGACATTGTTAGAAACTATGTTTTGTATGCAGCCCTGCATAATTTAAGAAAAGGGCATATGCTATAACCCTCCCTCTTCTTCTTCATTTCATGATTTAGGCAGTACAACATGTTCCACAGTCGCATAGTGACCCCATTTCTTCCAAGGTCTTTCTCGGTCTAATCGTCTATCATTTTAAACTGCTCTGGTACAGTTTATTTGTCCAGTTATTTTCTTGTGCATCTGTTTTATTTGTATTGATTTAATTTTCAGTTCTTTCCTAACATTAGTGTTCTTCATTTTTTCTAGTCTAGTGTAGTCTTCAACTGTCCTTAGGTATCTCATCTCTTCTCACTGTATCCTGTTCATGTCTCGTATTTCAAGCGTCGAACATTCATCTCCACACAGCAGAGACGGCGCACGTCATATTTATATGTCAATCTTACTGACGAAGGTTCCGTCCAAACAAATTTACACAATAATATCTTACATAAATCCGATCTTCACGAGTGCACACAGGTGCTCTGTGTTATAAAATATATTTCTCACATTCCTTAAGTTATTCATTACTAATTATAACATCATTTATTTTTTATTAAAATTCCGTAACTTCAAATATAATTGGTCTATATATACTTAAATAAGCGTAGATATTAATATATCCCTTCAAATAGGCGATACACGTAAATGCACATAATACAGTATTGCTTTAAAAACAAATTTTACGGCGGTCACTGTTCAGGCTGTGGTTGCCTAGCTATCCGAACGTGCTATTGTGTGTCAATAATTCTTGCTCTCTTTTTGGTATAAATATAAATATGCAAGTATTCGTAGACTCTCTGAGTGCAATAAATATTGCCCTTAACCAATAAGAGTCCGTGATTCCTGATTCGTGTCAAGCCACGAAGAGACATTTCGGTGCAACGGAGTTACAAGAAAACAAACTTCTCCAAATTTATTTGATATTGCCAGAACTGCAATGGGCAGGCCAGTTAACTCTCTTGCTGTGAAACTAAATATAATGTTAGGCTATACTAATTTTGTTTAACGTTACGGACTGTACAAACGAATACTGCGGTTTCTTTTAGAATTTTAATATCTCTGAAAATGTTATCAACAAAATTCGGAATATTTAAAATTCTTTCATGAAGCGGCAGATCTCTTCCCAAGGGGGGGGGGGGAGACACATAATTCGGTTACGTGCAACTTATATAGCGGAGTATTTCTTCGCTTTATAAAGAAGAGAGAGTCTGCACTTGGTCAGAGAGAGAGAGAAGGGGTTCCGAATTATGGCTATAAACGTTCCAATAGTCTACTTGAATTAGGTAACAACAGAGTTTATTAATCTAAGCAGTATACAAAAACATCTGTCAATAATTTTTATCTACGTATATTTTTACAGAAACCACAAACTTCAATTTAAATAGAAATAAAAGCGCATCTAACAATGAAAGCCAGCAGGTTCCGACCGTACTTGCATATTCTGTTCTGGGTAATGTTACGTGTAATTGCAAAAAATAGTAAATCTATCCCTGTAACAGGCCTTGGAGGCCCATGGGGTTGTGAGACATCGAGGATCTCACATTTTCTAGAATGTCGGCTCACAGATGAAAGTGAGGCTATCAGCCTTACGGATCGGCCGTTTTCTGTTAGGCTGATCATTTCTATTAGGCTGAGTCGACGCCAGGGCCGTAGTGTGACTGGAATGAGTAGGTCAACTGAAAAATCCAATTACGTCATCGAGAATCGAACCCGAAAAATTCCGGCTAGTAGCATAGTGTCTCAATCAACAACGCTACCGCATGCCCCACGTGTAATTGTAGTATGTACAGTTTTATTACTTACAGGCAATGTACCAAAGTTCTGATCCCTTTGGGACGACTCGAATGGTGGAGACACCTGGATCGAAGGTGCAAATTGTGGGGGGTGAGGGGGGTTAGGAGAAAGAAAAAGAGGAACTGTAGAGAGAGTACCAGTGATTCCCTCAGAGGGGCGACAAATTAACAATTATAAATCACGCAAAAATATATCTACGGAAACTACATTTGGCGAGTACATAACTTAGTAGCTGTGGAATAATTAGGTTACAGAAGATGTTGAAATTGGTTTCCCTTCGCCTGGAGACACAGGCCGACAAGACGCTCCATGTTCGCGAATGTTAGAGCCAGTATTGCAAGAGGCACTGTGGCAAATATGAAACATCCTACATATAAGCAGATGAGTTATATCCTGACACCGAGGAGGCTAAACGGAGAGGCGAGACACAAATGGGCTGGCAACGGGTAAGTTCTGCAAAGGACGCAATATTGCCAAGTCTGGTTATATTCGTTAAATTAATGTTAATTTTTAATTATTAATTCAGAGCCTAATTCGAGTAGATCACTCTGTAGAAAATATGAAAATGGAGACATGAAGGCTTGAAGGTCTTTTTATCTCGCTTTCCACTGGTTTCCATCCAGCGCACGAAAAAGAACAGTCTCCCTTTCTATTTACGCTACGAACATCGGTAAGAGCCGCTGGGTTGTCATTCCGCCATGAAGACGGTGACAGTATGTGCAGAATTGCAACATTGTAAGCTGACTGAAATGGCACCATCACCCACAAACAGGACCCACAAAGGAGATTCGCTACAATTTAATTACTTCTTTGTATATTTATTAGGGGATTCGTTTCTCATACTCACTTTCATAAACTGTAATATTAAAAATTAGAAATATAGACTAAAAGAAGCCCTTATAAATAAGAATTTTTTATTAACATGATAGCTGAAGAAATGGATACTATTGTTGTTAGATTCATCGACCAGCAGAAGGACTTATATTCGTAACTGATCTCTGTCGGTGATCTATGTTAACACAAACTCACGCAGCACAATGCCGATTTTGCTATAAATATATATTCATCTATTTATTTACCACCCAAAATGCAAATGTTCGCATCCCAAACAATAGAGATGGAAACTCCTTCCAATTCTCCGAAGATCTGTAGTAAATGAAAGCAGTAATAAACTCAAAATAANTAACACCACATATACACGGTGCCAAATCCCAGAAGACTGCTTTCTTCATACTGTGAAAAAATTGTTACAGAAAGAGGAAACGAATATTAAAATAATTAATGATTTTCTGGACTTACCATGGACATCCACATTTATCCAGGCCATCATAGGACTTTCAAGAGCATCGTTCATGGCTCGACATTCATATTTTGCTCCCAGGTCTCCCCTTCCAAGCTTCAGATGAACTCTGTTCCTTCCTGTGCCCACACTATTTGCTCCGTTCTCAGTGCTATATTCGCCTGTAACAAAGATATTTTAAATTAAAAATGGGAAGCGTAATTTATGTATTACAACTTAGATTACATCCTACTGTGTCTTTAATGAAAGAGATCTTAAATAAACAAAGTGTGGAAGTGTAGCGTGGATTCAGTTCGCTTATAAAGGGTCCAGGGAGAGCTCTTGTAAACAAGGTAAAGAACATTCGTGTTCCACAAAAGGCGGGGAATTTCTTGTATACGTGAAGAAGTCTTTGGTTCTCATGAAGTACTCTGCTCAATATAGGTTGTGTGTGCGAGCGTGCGTATGTGTAATTATATAACACTGGCAGAATATCTGTCAATTTATGAACACAATCATCAACAGATAATAGAATATCGATATAAGGTCACATGTTAAGGAGCACTACAGCACAAGCCAATATATCATACATTGCAGTCTGGGTGTGAGGCATAATTGTTGTAGATTATGTAATTATGGGCAGCAAATTATAAGACTTAGAACTTGATCTTTGCGTAGCCGTATAATTCAATTCCCATAGCATTAACTACTACATAACATGCGAAAATGAATGTGCAAAAAAGTATCTTTACAGAAAATTTCCATACAACATATCCATTCCATATAACAATTCCGGACACAGACACAGGCGAGATGATGAACCATATGCACTGCATCCTAAAGTCTCAGGCTCTATTTGCCCCCTTACGCTTCCAATATTCCTTCTGTCTCTTGAAACAAACCCGTTCTACGTCAGTGTACCCATCGACTATGCCCTGGCACCCTTACAGGTGGTCATAATCTATTTTAACCTTGAAGTTAGAGTTTTCCGTGGAAAATCGGTTCGATAAATATTGTTACGTGTGCGGAGTTCCGTGACAGATAATTGTGGAATCTGGATTAGACGAAGCTGTTTATTGGATAACTTGTTTACAGTCACAACTACATACAATCGCTCTCAAACAGCACCTTCCAGACGATGCGAACTGATTCGCCCATCGCCTCTGATCTGATCACTGATACGGTCCTCCCTGATCTCCCTTCTCACTTCTCTGTCTGTTCAAGAACACAATTTATTTCATAACCGCTTGGCCTACAGACTAGGGGATGCCGAATTCAACAGTTCATCCCTCCGTTGTCATGAAAACGATCCATCCGTTGCTGTGAGAATAAATATTTACCTCAGTTGTCATGGAAACGATACCTCTATTGTGAAGGAAACATCTGTCTATATGGCTTAAGAGACGCCTCTTTAGGAGTCGCTACCTATGCAGTGGATGCCTCTGTATGCGGTGTCTCGGAAAAGTGTTTTAAAAGGCGTTGTCTAGCAGTGGACGCCGGCCCAGATATTCTGGCTTTTAGGCGGCACTCCACAATATGTAAGAATTCCTGACAGACATGCAAATCAGAAGCATTTCCGTATGGACCAGGCTTAGCAGGTTATTACTTTATATACATTGTCTCTTTCAGAGCCTAGACATTAGTAAGAAGCATTTTCCTCCTCCACGCTATTGTGTTCTTTCTTCTACTTGCGTATCTTTATTGTCCTCTTTCTCTTCCTTCGTCTCTTCCATTAACTTTTACTTCTTCATTTCCCTTTTCAAGTATATTTTATTTCCTTGATCTTTTCTGCCTTTTACAATACCTCTTTACTCTTACTCTTACTTCATTTCCTCTTCCTAGTCCTCTTCCTGTTCCTCCACATAATCTTCGTCACCTATTCCTACCAATCTCATTTTCTTCAGTTTCTTCTCCCTCTCTTCCTAATACATATACGTATACTCCTCCTCTAATTATTCTCCTACTTCTCATCCTCATATTTTCCTTTATCTTGGTTTCATTTTTCTTTTTCTCTTCAACGTCCAGGGCAGAGTCTCAAAGGTTTATTTAAGAAAGTAAATACTCAAGCGGTTAGTCGCCGGATTCGCACCGCGACGGCCCGGGTTCGATTCCGGGTCTTGTTAAGTGAGATTTGTGGTGGACAAAGTGGGGCTGGGGCAGGTTTTCTCCGAGTACTACGGTTTCCCCTGCCAATCTTCATTCCACCAACTGCTCCACAATCACCCTCACCTATCATCTGGGGCTGGTACAATAGGCCATAAGTGGCCGCGGGACAAGGGACTTAGTCCCGCCCCATTAGCATTAAAAGAAAAAGAATGTAAACAGAAAATTCATTGTCCTCTTCAAGTGGCAATTACATGTGAACAACCTCAGGTTGTCGTGGATAAACTGATTATTTAAAATCTGGCTCCCTTCACTAAATTCTGTAAATCACTAGACGGGTTAATCATATCCTAAAGTTTCGAAAACACTACACTACACTAGGTCTATCTCGAAATTTGGATTTGCGTCACTGAACTGTAATTCCATATATGTACATAATATTAACGGGTTCCTAGGCAGCGTTGTAGGACGGAAAGACATTCACTACAGACTTCAGAGCGACCTCTTTAAATATGTGTTTATGGAAAGCGCATTTTCCACAGTCATATGGAGTAGAAGGGGGTGTTGGTTAGGGGGGGAAGAGAGGAGAAGTGCGAGAATTTCTCCAGTCGTGGCACGGCCATGTAATATGTCTTTTGCAGCGTCTTCTACTTCTATTCTTTTCATCGAATCCATTATTTGGTTGGCCCTACCTCCTACGTTCCACATTCAATTCTCCTTTCCTCTTTCTCCGCTGTGTTCTGTTTTCCCGTTCTTTCTTTCTATCTCTTCGTTGTAGGGAGAAACAAAACGATAACTGCGAATCTGAATTAAAGAATCCTGACACTCATTGGCTGTAGGAGTTCCGAATTTATAGGCAGTTTTCATTCCATTTTTATTACACATTTTTAACAATCCTAAACTTCGAAGTTATCAACTAAGAAGTTCTACGAACAGAATATTTCGTAACAAACACTATTCAGACGGAACGAAAAGATTAATTATTGTCATAGAAAACATAAGTATTCTATAAAACACCACAGTGATCTTATTTTTACAAAAGAGGAAAGAGTTCAGGTTCCTAAAAGATGAAATTTCCAGCTCATTTTTTCTAAGTAACAGTTCTACAGAACTGCATTATAGTAAAACTTTCAAAGACAAACTAATCAGTCAGATGATAATGTGAATATATACACTGCATGAAAGTAACTGAAGATTTCCTCTCTTGCATGTACATCCATTGTATGGCATGAAGTTCATTACTGCTTAGTAATGGACAGGCAGATAATAGATACTGTTATGTATATATTTACAAGGCACTTTAACTTCAATAAACTGAGAACTCAAAACACGCTTAACCTACAGAATAAGGGCAAAAACACTGATTAGAATTGCTCCTCAAATATGGAGGTACAATTTTCAGAACATCCCAACTAGCCTCCTAACTAATTCACTCACTCACTCACTCACTGACAGACTGACAGACCGACCAACCAACGAATTAACTAACTAATCAATCAGATAACTAGCCAACTAACCAACTAACTGACAGACAGACAGAACAACTGGCCAAATAATTAACGGAATAACAAAATACCTACGTAAGTAAGTCACTAATTTCATACAGCTGAGCTTTCTTGAGAAGCCAACAGTCGCTCAGCTACTCAAGAATTTCCCAACATTTCATGAATCCCGAAGATTCATTACCGTGTTCACAAGAGCCTACCCCTATCCTAAGCCAGATGAATTTAGTCCACACAACTACATCAGATTTATCTAATAGCCATCCTAATCTTATCCTCCACCTACATTTAGATCTTTGAGGCTGTCTTCATCCTTCTGGCTTTGGCACCCCTGCCCTTAAATTCGTGCTGCATACTGTAACGTGTTTTGCCACTGAAGACGCCGTTCAGATTGTTAATTGTTTTATTTAACAACCTACAAATCGTAACTACAATTAATTATAACACTGTTGCGGGTTTAGACAATTTACAAAACCTGCACGCTAATCTATTCACTCTATCATCAGTAGTCTTCACGTGTAACGCGGGAGATATACAAGTTTCTCCGAATTACACACTCCCAATATCTTCTCAGTTATCACATAAATTCTTCCAATCGCGCGTCCGGTTATCCTTCCACGGCTGCTATACTTCATCTGAATTATGACGTCATCTTCACGTTCACGATTCAGTCGCTACAACTGAATTCGGCGACTGCTAGACTTCCACTGGCCTCGGCGACTGCTACATTTCAACTCTTACTGAATACTAGTAACTGGCTCAATCCTCCTGAAAGTCAAAGTCAAAGTCACAGTGCGACTGACGGTCGGTCAGTCAGTCAGTGAGTCTTGGTGTCGAGCCCCATTTGTGGTTCATGACCAGATATTAATCATTATCGTTTGACAGTTACGGTCTTGTTTCTGTGGGGCGCCTTCTCTGACGAGAGTACAGGTCTGTCTTTTGTATATGTTGCTGGCCCTTGCCAGCGCTGTTTTTCTCGGGTCCAAGTCCCTTGGGACTCGTGACCATATTTTACTGTCTCAGAATTGAGACTTCCCTTTTCGTCGCCTCCTATGATTCGCATGGTCACGGTGGAGGTATTTGACCCCGCCTCCACACGGGGTAATGTTCCTCCTGAAGTGTGTTCGCTGCTCCTTATTTAGGCTTGGCACGGACAACACAGTGAACACATTGCTGTCCTTACTGTTGCGTAACTTGGCAACCGACGGTTGATCAAGTGTCTGTCTTCGTGGTAACTCGTTCCACCTACCGTTGCATAGCAACGGTTAGACATACCACAATACTTTGCTTGTCTCATCCGCCTCGACGTTTCTAATCCCATGGATGTGTAATCCAGGTCTTTTTAGTGATACGAAATCTGAATATCAGTTTGGGTCAAACCTGTATCGGTGTTCTGGTTGTGACAAGAACTTAGACACTGCAACGACAATGATCGCCTACTGGATTATACTGTTTCATGAGAAGTGTGGGGTGCGGGGGGGGGGGACAAGAACTCAAGGATCACAGTAAAAATATCTGCTCCAAGTGTACTTTAAAGGTAATTATATAGAGCAGATTTTTTCTTGAAAAATTAATAT